TCTGGTTTGGGCAGCATCCCCAGTGATGGCTGTGGGTGGGTAGGTGGGTTGGTTGTTGTTCTGTCTTCCTCAGATGCCTTTTCCCTCAGGGTCCCTGCTGAGCTATCCTGGTTCCTCAGCTGGGGTAATGCCACCTCCTTTCCTTGTTCCTCCACCCTAGAAATGGTAATGGCTTCCTGGTGATCTTTGAGTTGCCATATCCCATTTGCTTTTTTGTCTAACATTTAAATAACCAATTTCTCCAATTAAACTCCTGGCATGGAGGTATAGCTTAACAGTAGAGTGCTTGCCTAGAATGCATGAGGCTCTGGGTTGATCCCCAGCCCCACACAAAAAAAAAAACAAATAAAAAAACTCCTGGCATTGACTCTGTTCATCTGGATTGGGTTGGATATAATCCACAGCAGGTAGGGTCAGTAGAAGAAAAGCTCTAGTGCAAGTCCCCTCACTCAAATGTCTGTCCTCCCACTGCCCTACTCCAGTGGGAAGGGAACCTCAGAGGGAACAGGCAGCTCTCTTGCCTACCAGGAAGGCACAGCTTAGATCTAAGTTGTTCGCTATTTTATAGGAATATAAATATATGTTTTTTCATTACATAATTAATTTTCTAGGAAAGTGATTTTGTATTTATAGATCTCTTCGTTTTGTGTCAAAACAGTGCATCATCTGTTAGGATGTGGACTCTTCTTCACCAAGGTCCCTGCTCTACCAGTGTATTCTGTTAGCCCAGGCATCAGGCAAGGCTTAGAAATCAGAAGTGAGTTCAGGGAATGGATGCAGCAGAGCAGCCGATAGGAACTGAAGCTCCATTTATATATGGGCAACTGAGGCCAGTGGCATCCCCAGAGAGCAAGAGAACAGGAGAAGGTCAAGAACCAGAGTGTGGGGGCAGCTGAAGACTCCAGCCGAGGCTGCAGTGGTACAGAAATAAAGATGGAGGAGCTTCCCCCAGGACCAAATCAGGAATCATAGAATCCGGTAGGTTCTGAGAGGCATCAGAGGCTTGGCAGCTTTCCCAGGCCCATAAAGCTGGATAGTGGCAGGCCAGAGACAGAATGAAAGTTCTTGGCACTCTCCAGAAGTGGGTACAAGGACAAAGTTAGAGTTGGGGCCACGGACAAGGGAATAAAACATGAAACCCAGTCAGAGCAGCAGGGCAGCCCCTCCTGGACTAGATCCTGTCAGGGTTTTGAGACAGAAATAAAAGCACAGCCAGCATCTTCTGTTATAAAAGACCTTTAATGGCCTCCTATTTATGGTTCTTTTGTTTATTTGTCCTGTTGGAGTCGAATAAACTATAATAACTTATCTGATAGAATAAGGGATGCCACAGGTACAACAGATTACCCTGGAGGTGACCCAGGAATGAGTGCCACAGAATAGTCACTTCACAGAAAGGCCGCAGACTTGGAGTCTGCCCTGGCCACCCCTCCCTCCTGCCCAGGACACATACATTGGCTCCCTCCCACTCTGTAGCAAGAGGCAGCCCTGAAGCATCAGTGACACTGAGCACAGATGCCCGGAGGGCTGCTGTCCCCTTGCTTCCCCCAAGGGCTCTACACACTGTCACAGGCCAGGACCTCGCCCAAGTTTAGGAGGCACCTGCCTCTTGTATGCTGCCAAATACAAAGACACTTTGTATTGCAATGCTGAAGCTGCTCCAACATGAAAAGCAAGAATAGAACCTGTGCTTGCTGGTCTAAGATCAAACCTCAGAATGGTGGTTTGAAGTTTTTCTTCAAAACAAAGTTTGAAAGTGAAACCTCAGTAGGCAAGAGATAAAAGCAGAGCTGTTCTGGGGGAAGTGGAAATGGAGAAAGAGCTGCAGACTCAGCCCTTGCTTGCCTCCACCCATCTCCCCTAGAGCATCCCCTGACAAAGCTCTGTGGCATTCCAGGGGTTCCACAGTACCTGGTTGGAAAACTACTATGACAGAGCATCTGCAGGTCATGGGTCCCAGGGACCTGTGCTTTGACTTCTCTTTGGGGGGCAAGTTGGGAGAGTGTTGGGGTAAGGTGCTCCCCTTCCTGCAGGTCTCCCTTGGAAGCTGCTGTGCCATGACCCTACAGGGCAAGGCGGAGGTGGGGATCTGCCCCACAAGTTGACTGCTTCCGGCCAGGAGGAAGGGCAAAGGTGGTGGAGCTGCCAGGGCCAAGATGGTGGCAGAATGCAGGCTCCAGGCAGGCTAAATGAGTGAGGATCAGGGAAGTCTCTTTTGGTCCTTATTGAGTTTAAAAAGAAAAATATCAGAACAGGCACAGGCCTGTGTCCATGAGACCCTATAAGAATTCAAGATGGCAGCCTCCCCTTTCCTCCTGGATGGAGGCATGTCCAGGCCCTAGTCACTGGCAGGAAAGAACTGCCTCTCTGAGTAGCTAAAACCATCAGGGATGGATCAACCAGGACTCGGCTCTTAGGCCAAGAGGCCTGAGCATTTGGGGCCTGAGGCCCTCCCAAGTGTCACCAAGAAGCTATTGTTGCTCTGGTTAATCCTGGGTGGGTCTTTATACTCTAAAGGGAAAGAACAGGCATTTTCTATTTCCCCTCACCCTTGGATGTCTTTGATGGAGCAATGACGAAGTCAGCTCCCTGACCTGGGGTCATGGCCAAGGCTTCTTGACCTCTGTGAGGTGAGAAGTGGGGAATATGGATGGCCCAGGCCTGGGAGGGCCTGTCCTCCAGTTTCTGACAACATCCACGTCTTCTCTCTGTCTTGAATCCTGGACCCCTGTCCTTGGGCTTGGAAGTTCTGAGTAGTGTCCACATTTCCCTCTCAGCTGGGTCACCAAGGCCAAATTGACTGAATCTCATTCTGGTTGACATCTACCTATGTGAGAAGTGGGGAAAGAGAGGAAGACTGGTGGGAAGAGGGCTCAGACCACAGCAACATTCCTGTGACCCTGGGCTATGCCCTTGTACTTGGAGGGCCACACCCAGGCTACTTAAAAGAAAAGTGGCCACTGATTTCCATCTCCTCTGGGCCTCACCACAATGCCTGAGTCAGGCAGGGAAAGGATTATTGTTTCAGTTCAGTTAGGGAAACTGAGCCTATTAATTTGAGTCACTTGCTCAAGGCCACCCAGCTGGTTGATGACAGCCAGGACTGAGAGGTGGCACTGGGGACTTCCAAAGAAACATTCTTTTCACTGCATCGTGTGGGACCAGCTGTCAGCTGTTCTCTCAAGCAAACTAAAACCCAGGTGAGTCCGCTCTTGCTTGTCTGGGCTTTATGGCTGAAGAGGCTATGGGGCCCTGCCAAATAACTCAGTCCTTATCTTCCCAGGGACTGAATGCTTCTCTTGGTTGGGGTGCTGAGCAAGTCCAGCTAGTCCTTACCCAAAGCAAGTTCTTCCTCCCAGATTGGTATCAATGTGGCCCCCTCATGGCCCACTGTAAAGTACCAGTGCGGGGTTGCTGGTTTGCCACAGTCAACAAAAAGTCAAAAACTGTGGCTCTGGGGCCCAGTGAGGCTCTCCTACCCCTAATGGAATTGGCTGTCATCTGGCTGGGTTGACTCTAGAATGCAGAAGCCCTACATAGAAGCACTCAGTCATGTTAGCAGAGCTGAGGTATCAGGAATGATGACCTGGGTCCTCCTCCCCAGGAAGATGACAAGGAAACACTTCACCCTATGTCCCACAGCACTGCAGCAAGGCTCCACAGCAGCATACCTGGCCAAGGGACAAGTGACACCAAAATCCAACGCATGTACAACCCACAAGGCTGTCATTCTAGCATGGGTCCAAATACCTCTGGAGGTGGTACTGGGTTCTAATTCACATCAAGGCATGGCATGGACCAGGAGCAGCCATGGAGCCTTAAATGCAAGGGCCCTCTTCTTACTTTACCTTGTAACTTCCCTCTGGCTGTGAGCTTCCTAAGGACAGCCCATCTCTGTCTCCAGTGCTAGGCAAACAGCAGAGAAACTGTCAGCAAAGGATGGTTAGGCTGAATTCAGTTGAATTTAACCACTGCCATATGTAGTCTTGGTTCAAGATAGCAAAGACAGAAGGGGCTCTGCTGCTTCCTCAAAGCTGGGACAACTGCAGTTAACACTGGGATAAACCCAAAAGGTGAGTGTGATGTTGAGGTGGAAGAAGCTCAAGAAACCAGCCTGGCAAATCTTCTGTGTGCACATGTTAGGGATAGAGGAAGAGGCCAGCAGACCAGTTATGCCAAACACAAAAGGTCTCCTATCAGCTTCCAGACAGACAGTGGAAGGCATATGCTTGCCATCTGCTATTCCAGCATTCCATGCCTCTACAGTTGTCCAGATGGGGCACAAACTCCCCAGCCAGCTCTAGCAGGAGCTGCACACCTGGGATACTTGCAGGTAGGACCCCAGACTGGCCAGAGGAGTGTGACTGCCCTGTGTGAAGTTCTGACCTGGGAAGGGGGTCCCTTGGATGGGGTGTTCATGAGATTACAAGGTGCAGGGCCAGGTGACTGGGTCATTTCACCATGGGAGATGATTGCACAGCCCAATGCCAGATGTGCCAGGCTAAAAAAAGTTCCAATCCAACTTGTATAATAAAATTATGTTGTCTCCCTTTGCAGGCAAATGTGGGAATGAGACAGAAAGGAGCAAAAACTGAGAAGAGATCCCCTTGTCTTGCTAATTGGTGTATTTGCCTGAGTAAACTTCAGGGTGTCTGAATCCTGGGGGGCAGGGCTGTAATGTCCTAGAGGTGCCACCACAAGCCCCCCGCCCAAGCCTCAGCAAACACAGCTCAGTCCCTCCTTGTTATATCTATGGCCCCAGCTCAACAACAGGCAACTTCCTGGAGCCCAAAAAGGATGCTTCCTAGGCCTGGGGGAGGAACTAGGTGCTGGGCTGGGCCCTGCCCTCTGAGGTCTGAAGGCGAGAGCAGTCAGCAGCCCCGGCTCCACCCAGCACACCAGAGGCTCTCGTGCTCACAGTCTCAGAAGCCAGAGCTCATAGGCCTTTTGAGATCATATGGTCAAACTCCTTGGTTTTCCAGTGAGGAACTGAGGCCCAGAGAGAGGAAGAAACTTGTCCAAGGATGCACAGCAAGTTAGCATCAAAGACCAGACAAGGAGGATGGATGCCTTTTAACACTTTCTACTTTATCAGCTGTCTGGCCTGTTTCCCTGAGAAATGTCCCAGGTCTCTATCACGCCAACATCACCTGATAGGTACAGGGTACCCATGACACTGGGAACTTCTGAAGTCCAAGGGGGAAAAAAAGAAGCAGCTTCCTTCCCTTTGGGGGAGAACATCCTGAAGGAGCCTGTCACCTACTGGAGAAGGACCCCCTTTGACAGAGGGCATGGTGGCCTCAGGCTCTCTCTCTCCCACCTTGCAAGGCTGGCCCAGCCCAGCAGCCCTGGAGAACTGCAGGAAGAAGGGGCGGGGGGGATGGTGGTCCAGCTGCCTCTGGCTCTCCAGCCTTCCTCCTGGTGATCATCTTAAGTCCATGAAGGAAGAGAAGTACGGTGGACTCTCATCTTCCCACTCCCTGCCCCACTTTGAAAGCCCCCCCCCAAAGCTCCCCTGTTGGGGGCTACCGCTTGCTGAAGACCCCTCTCCCTCCATCTCTGTGTGTATACAGCTATGTCCACACATGTAAAGCACACAGTAGCTAAGGTGACACGTCCCGACAACACCAAAATGTACTTGGCTAGTTCACACAGCTTGCCTCAGCCCAGATATCTGCTGGTACGAAAGTCAACCCACTGTTTGTCTGTACTCTGGCATCTATGGGTCCTCGCCAATGCCACTATAAGATGCAGGGACCTGCGCAAGGATGAAGGAGGAGAGGTCTCTGGTGGTTCCAAACTCCGAAAAGGCATTGGGACTCTATCCAGAGTTCTGCCCCTCCAGCCAGAAGGGGGGACCTTCTGCATTGTTCTTTCTCTTTTAGCTGCCAGAACCATGCTGCCAATGGGACTCCAGACATCTCCTATGTCTTGCGCCCTCTTGCCCACCTTGGAGTCCTCATGCCCACCACTGCCATACCCCTCCTGCACACCCTTCTCACTCCCCATTCCAAGCCAAATCCCAAGACCAGCATCGTCATGGTTGCCCTTCTGGGAGTGAGCGTGAAAGGGGGGAAGGGGGTGGAGAGGTGACTTCGGAGAAGGGTGAATTCAGTGCCCTGCGGTCTTGTTGGCATGGTGATGTGGGGCCAGTCCAAGGCCAGAGCTCCATCACCGAGACTAGAGACCACTAGGCCCCCTGGTAGAAACTGGAAGAACAAAGGGGAGGGAAACCAGAACAGGAAGAAGACGAATGAGCATCCTAGTGTGAGAGAGTGGACCGGAGCTGCCCAGAGGGAGGCCAGCCCGTCTATCTGTCGTTGAGGTGTGGAGAGCCGGTAACATCCTCCTCTTCCTCCTTGTCATCCTTTATGCCTTTCAGTCTCTGGCGGGCAAAGTCCTCAAATACAATGTCGTCATCACTGGTAGGAAAGACAAGGAAAATGCGGTATGTTTGCAGGGGCAGGGAGAGGAGGCAAATGCAGAGGCCTGGCCCGATGTGACGCCCAGGGGCCCAAGAGAGAACCACACTCTGAGGTCTCTGGCCTCTGGGGCTGACCTTGAGCAGAAGGCCTGCCAGGCTGGCACATCTGCTTGCCCACTGGTGGCTGTGGGGACAGCCACATGGAGACGTGGGGGAAGGGGTAAAATGCCAGAGGAGCATGAGCTTGACTTTCATGCCTAGGAGCTAGAGAAGTGACCCAGATTTGAGGAGATGAATGAGATGTGTCAAACAGGAGTGCTCTGTGGCCAGAGGAAGGAATTGTTCCCACCGTGAGAGGCCAGGCCATCAAGGTTTCACAGCATATCTCAATCTCCCAGAACAGAACCAAGAAAAGCCACCCACCCAAAAAACTACCCTTAGGAAGCATTCCCGTTTCTGAACAGGAAGGAGTGGGCTGCATTTCATGGAAGAGAAAGCCATAAAGCCCTTTCTCCAGGGAAGTGTCAATTCACATGCATCCAGGTGGAGGAGGGGCTGACAAATCTACAGAGAGGCACGGGACATGGTGGGCTGAGGGTACCTGAGTGGGGTTGCAGGACCAAGGGTGGTTCCTTTATATCATGAAGCATGCACACTTAGGACCAGGCAGGGTCCTACCCAAGTCCCCTGCCCCATGAAGTTCAGCCAGCAGCATGGGGCATCCTTATGGAGTGACTTGAGACCCCCATCTTCCAGATTTCCCCCGGGGACAAGGCAAGGGTGGCTTTTGGAGCTGGAGCGAGCAAAACTGCTTGGCCCTGGAGGTGATTCATGCTGTTGGCCCAGGTTCTCCCCCTCCGGCCACTGTCCAGTGCCGCGCTGGCCTTTCACTGCAGAGATCCGCATCAGGTGGTCCATAGGAGTCAGAAGCAGCAGGACCCCAGATCCCTCCCCACCCACTGCCTGCCTCTGCCCAATGGGCATGGCGGGGCGGGAGAGCAGATCCCAGGGCTTGAACCAGCCCTGTGTGAGCTGAGCAGGTGCTGTGGATGGACGAACGGACTGACGGACGGACGTGCAAGGACGAGGGAGGAAGACAGACCCCACCAAGGCAGAAGGAAGAGGAACAGGCACGGAGGGTCCTTCAAGTCACATGCAGGCAAGCGGGTTGCTGAAGAGGTGAGCAGAGGTGGCTCTCAGCAGATGGGGTTAGACCAGCTGCTCCTCAGGGGTTAATAAGCATATATGCCAATGACCCCTCCACAGCACCCCCCCAGGCCCACCCCCAGACATCCGCAGGCAGGCTTTGGCTTACTTCGTGTCAAGTTCTATGAGATCGGTGTCTACTGGTGCCTCGTTCTCTGGAACTGAACACAGGGGGCAGGGCACCCAGGAGTTAGTGAGGGGAAGGGATAGGTAGGCCCAGGCTCCCAGCCCGGGACAAGAAGACTAATCAGGGAGGGCAAAGGATGGAGGGGAAGGAGTAGGGGAAGGGGGGACTCATCCAGGTCTTAGAACGCCCCAGATCATCTTCAAGGCAGGGGGTTGTAGGGAGGGCCCCGAATGACCACTGCAGCCCCAGGACAGCTAAAGAACCTCTGAACCCCCGCTGCGTGGACAGGTCTCCAACACGACTTAAGATTCTTGCATTCCTGACTTTCACTAATTCTAAGACAACTTTTACTTTTTTAACATTTTAACCTCTCTTAAGCTTGGAGTGTGTTTTATAATCAGTGGCACTTCATAGTTTGATTGTGGGAATGCTAGCTCTCTTAGAGTCCAAAGACCAACTGGTTATCCCTTGGAAAATTATGGAAATGGGGCCGGGGATTTAGCTCAGTGGTTCCAGTGCCTGCCTCGCCAGCAGAAGGACCCGAGTTCGATCCCTGGTACCAAAAAAGAAAAATTATGGAAATGGTATGTCTAGAGGTCATCTTATCCATGTAGCCCCTTCCCCACTCAAGAAGAGGACCCAGCCTGGACCTGGCTATGTGGCCAGTATGCTCCCTCCTCTGCTCCCAGCCTTCCTCTCCCATGGAGAACAGAGATCGGGGCTCCCTGACTCCTAGCAGGGTCAGAGGTAGGAATTCTGGGCTCCACAAAGACCCTTGGGGCTTGTGACTCTCGGCTGAAGGCTAGGCCAGAAGGAGGTGGGGTGACGGTAACGTGGCAGCTGGTCGAGAAGGGAATGGACTACCTGAAAACCCCCATACCAGTGACCCACAGATCCTGCTCACCTTCCCGATGTGGAGGTTCTTCTTTGGGTTTGGGGTGCATTAAGGTGAAGGGTAGTTCCACAGCCACATCACTGAAACACAGACCCAAACCCTGTGAGCCCCGAGAGTCTCAGGCTGTGAGCTCTGATGCCCTGTCAGTCTGAGGGCTGGAGAGGGTTTGTGGTCAGGGAGGCCCAGGTCTACCACTCTCTAAGCCTCAGTCTCTCTAGGAAATAAGCTAGGAGACCTCTTCCCCTGACTTTAAAAGAAATGGAAACTTCTCTTTTCCTGAGGAAGATCTCCGGGAGATGCATGGGCTAGGCAAAGGGTTGTCCAGGGCAGTGTGCCCTGTGGCCTCTGGGTGGCTCCACAGGTGCCCTTGGACCCTGCCCACCTCACAACACCTCAGCCACCCAGCCTTCCTGGTACTGCTCTTCTCAGCTCCTCAGCTTCTCACCCTAGGAAACCTTCCCCCAGACTTCGAGTGCCTACAGGCACAGCTACATCTTCTTAACCTTACCCTGGGCCCAGCTCGAAGAGGGAAGGGATGGGGAATGGAATGGGCAGGGGCACAAGAAGTACAATCAGAAATGTGTGTTCCACCAGCACCCCTCTCACTGGTGGAGCGCTTCACCTCTGTGGGAGTCACTGAGCTCATCTGGAAAACAGGGATAACAACGCCTCCCTTCTAGAACTACTGGAACTGCCAGATGTTGGTAAAAGACCTGGTTAAACTGTGAAACTTGTGCCCATCAGAAGTATTACTTCAAAAAAAAAAAAAAAAGAAGTATTACTTCCCCTCCATGGAAACATGGGAGTTTTATAAGACTATCAAAAATATTTGACTTTATTTGTTTTGCTTCCAAAGAGGACTGTTTTTCCAGGCTCGCTTGGAACAGTGAGCCATCAGACAGAGCTGGTGGAAGACTGAATGTGCTGGCCTTCACCAAAGCTGTCCAGGATACGGTGGGGAGAACCTGGACCTCAGCCTTCCACCAGGCTATGAGTAACACAGGCAGGGGGAGGGGATGCTTCAGGGACTTCTGTACCCAGCACAAGTCTGGGTTTAGAAAGTCTTTGCTGAATTACTCTGAACTAAATTAAATTAATTTCACCTTTCAAGTTAGACGAAGATTTCACAGGATGAACAATATTGCCATCTTTTGACAGGGACAGCCCAAAGAGCCATATTTGTGGCTCCTGCATTTTGGGAATGAAGGTCATCCAACTGGTCACAGGGAATCTTGTCTACAGAAACAAATCTCTTGAAGGCTTCTCCTTAGCAACACATAGCCAGTAGTCCATTCTTATTCGTACAGAGATTTGAAAGCCACAAAGTCTGCATTACTCCTATAATCTAATCTGCTCTCCCAGGGCCACTCCCCAAATCCTTGCTGAGTGTCAAGCTCCCTGTCACTCGAGTGGAATGGAAGAGCAGGGAAAGGTATTTTACAAAGAAAACGTGGGCCCCAGTCCCTCTTGAGAGGGCTCTAGGCCTGAGCCTGTGATCTGCAAAGACCTCTAGATTCTCCCCAACCCAGTGTCCCCTCGTTCTGCTCAGTCAGGCCAGAGGTCTCTGGGCCTTCCAGGAAGCTGGCCCAAGCAGGGAAAAGGAAGGACTTTACCTGGATGCAAGATCTCCCAGCAGGCTGGGTGGGTCAGAGGAGTTGGGAGGGTGGTCAGGAGAGAGTGCAGAGAGAAAAGAAAAAGCACATTCATTCACCACCTCTGCTGCTCCCAGAGCAGACTCAGGGGATACCCCCCACCCCTGCCCAGAATGTTCACCCAGGGTACTAACATGGTTTCAGGCTGCCCTTGGGGCTGAGTGCAAGCCCCAGCTCAGCAAACTCCCTGGACCCCAGGATCCACATCTGTGAACGAGACTCTCCCCACCCCAGGACTGTCTAATGGCACAAGGAATGACTTTGGGGTTACCAGGAGCATACAGAAGGCTGTGTGTGGGTCCTGCAAGGCCACAGGATTCAGGACTTAGGATTGAAAGATGTCCTATAATTTGTGATCAGTATTATTCTAATTATTAAGGGGACTCAATGTCTAATGTTGTTTAATGTTTTGATCTTTCCTTAGAAATTTATGAACTAAATTAGAGAGAGAAAAAACTCCCCCAACAAATTAGAAACCTTAAATTCTAGGTTTATAACATAGAGGTCCAATTTATGGTGAAATGAGACTTTTTATGAGCCTCCACCAAACTGAGCTCCGGGGTAAGGAATATGTCTGGCCCACTGCTGGGACTCCAGCATCTGGCCCATGATAGGAGGCTAGGAGAGGGGAGTTCAGGAAGTAACTGGGGAAGAGTTAGGGCCTTTGCTTCCCCATCTGTAAAATGGGAAAGTCAGCCACGTTAGCAAATCTGGAATCCAGCTGTAGGATTCTGAGCCCCAGGAAGATCCGTGTAGGCAAGAGTAGGGGTGTACGCTGTGTTCCAAGGTAATATTGGGAGGCTTGGTACCCTCAGGCACCCATAGAATAGACTGTGCGGATGGCCTCCTGTGGCACGCCCACTCTGTGCACGGCCTAGCCTGGGATAAAGATGAGCTGGAGAGAAGGAGTGAGATAGGTGGGAAACGGGGGTCATGGAAGGAGAGGGTAGAGGGGCGGTGGAGGAGGAAGAGGAACTGGAAGGAGTGAGAGAGGAACAGGAAGTCCGCTAGCCCCATTCCTCCTCCACAGAAGGAAGCAGTTAAAAGGTCTGACAAACAGGCAGAATGGGGCAGGGGGCTGTGGGCCCCTCTGTATTTGGGGACTTTGGGCTGGGCCACAGGACTCACCCGCCCCGAGATACCACCAGCTTCACTTTCACTTTATAGGAAACAATGATGCCCAAGATCTCACGGTTGGCACCTTCCCTCAACCTGCAAGGCAACATAGGTTAGCTGGTCCTCAGGGCTTGCTGGGGAGTGAGACACAGCAGGCAGTGGGGCTTGGTAGGGGGCATGTTACCCATTCTTCTCCTGGGGTACCCAGCCTCCATGTCCCACAGAGCCCAGTGTGGGCCTCAACCTGGGCCAGCAGAAGAGACAAAGATGAGCTGTGCCCTCCCTAAAAGAACAGGAACTCAGAGCCCTGAGTTCCAAATGTGGCTGTGAGATTCCTTACTGGGTGACCCTGGACAGCCCCTCCTGGCCCTGTCCCAACAGCACAGTGAGGGGTGGGCTGTAACTGCTCTTTCTTGCTTTTGCTTCTCTCCCCCACATTTGTGCTCAGTAACCCGTGGACAGAAAGGGCCAGCTGGAAGTTCAGAGAGGGTGAGGGCAGTGGGAGCTGGGGGTGTCAGGGAAGGGGTGCCCAAGAAGGTGGTGCCTCCACCTTACAGATAGGTAGGATTTAAGCTGGGGTAGGAAGGGAACAGAAAGCTTGGGGGCATGGGGGCTACCTATGCTGAGACGAAGAAGGGTCAGACTGGCATAAGCCTAGAGTCTGGGCTGGAAGTGGGGGCAAGGTGCTTCAGAGGTGGCCACTGGAGGGCCAGACCTTAGTAGGGGGGTGAGGAAGGTATCCCATGCCCCTAGGCTTAGCGATGCCCATGGGTTAGGAGAAACCAGATAGCCCTGGGGTCTCTGACGTGGAGGGCAGCCCACGCCTAATCCACCCAGCTCAAAGGCCTGATCTCTCCAGACTCCCCAAGCCCTCCCATTCTTCCCCTCCTGCTATGACCTCTCCCTTCCACTCCCTTCCCTCCAGCCTCAGGAACATGGCCAGGAGCTGCTGCCCCTTTCGGAAGCCCTTCGATGCTGTCCCTGCCCCAGGCCAGCAGCAGGGCTGGCAATGACCGAGCGAGTCAGGTCCAGTGGTCCCCACTGTTCTCTGCATCCTCCTGGATGGGCGGGAGTGGGGGACAGGCTTCCTGATTGGTCAAGCTCCTGCGGGCAGCCCTGGGAGAGGCAAGCCTGGCCCTTGTCCCTGCACTGGTAGGACCGGGAGGGCGGGGACCCATGGTCTAGGAGCCTGGGACTAGGAGGGCGGGTCCTCACAGGGTGCTGGAGGCCAGGTTCGTGTCCTCGTGCTTCAGCTTCCCATCCAGGGCCAGGCCCCGCTTCTCCCGGTTGTTGGCCAGGAAAGGGGTCAGCGTGTAGACCTTGCAGAATGTTGAGCTGGGTGCCACTGTGTCACTGAGAAGAAGGGAGGCAGGCGTGGAGGGAGGCCCTCCCCACGCCAACTTCAGCCCTCAGCCCCAACCCAGCCAGGACACCTATGGCCTTGCCAAGCCTCCCTCTGCCAACCTGTTCCCCTCTCCCCCCAACTGTAGGCATCATGTGCACCAGGCCTAGCTCTGACATGGAGACCTCCGCCACCCAAAAGAGGCACAGGACTGACCCTGGGCTAGGAAACAGCACAGTGCTAAGCAGTACACTTATTTTAAAGTCAAAACTATATACAAACCATGAAAGAAGATACTGGATACCCACAACCCACTACTGAGGCTCTACAACTAAAATTTTACTTGCTTTATCTTCCTTATCCAGGCATATGGATTCATCATGGACAGGGCATTTTGTGTTCAATTTTTTAAATTTGTTTTTGTTTTGTTTTGTTTTTCTGAGACAGGATCTCACTGTGTAGTTAAGGCTGGTCTCTGACTTACTATGTAGCCCAGGCTGACCTCAAACTCGCAGTGATCCTCCTTCCTCAGTCTCCTGAGTGCTAGGGTTACAGGCCAGCACCACCACACCCAGCTAAATGTGCTTTGATTGTTCAATTTTTACTTGTTTTTGCTCTTTATTTGTTTTCTCCCTTTTCAAAACAACTAGTAGGGCCGGGGATTTAACTCAGTGGTTCTACCGCCTGCCTCACAAGCGCCAAGGTCCGGAGTTCAATCCCCAGTACCAAACAAAAAGAAAGAAATCAACAAGACAACTGGTGTTCAGCAGACAGTAGGCTGGCCCTGGCACTGCCCTGCTTTGCCCCTTGTGAGCTCTGTGAGCAGAGCACATCCCATTCTCTGACCCCATTCCCTAATCTGTATACTGGGGCAGTAGCAACCCCAAGCCCACAAGACTCCAGGAGATGTAGACTGTACACTCTCTGAGCATGAGCAGCTCCCTTCCTGGGCTGGGCTGTGTGAGTTGTGCAGCTGTGCACAACTGCAAGACTCGAGGGCCCACTTGGGGTCCTGCAAGCTGCTCTGGCTCTGGTTCACTTCGCTGTGCTCCTCACCAAGAGTCTACACCTCATGGCTTTGAGGTTTTCTTTTTTAAATCAACAGTGGATATAAGAAATATCTAATAATAGTGAAATGTTTGATCTAATTATAACACATTACTATAGGAAATTTAAAACTATCTCAAAGACATTTTAAAATGTTTTTAAGTAGCAAAAGAATACTGATTGCAACATATATACACGTACACAGGTAACACTGCAGAAAGTGCAACTGCTCCAAAAATTTTTCGGGCCAGGTTAAAAAAAATGAGTGTGTCTTCTAGTGAATGCACATACTACCTTTAGGTAGATAAAGGCTTTTGCTTGAGATCTGGAGTCTTGTCTTAGCTGCCAGTGCGCTCAGGACAAGTTCTATGCTCAACCATAGTAGCTCTCCTCAAATCCTGACTTTTTTTTGTAAAATTATTCTTTCCCCTCCCACACACACAACCCTTTTACCCAGGGAGCCAGATGACTTTTCTGCCAGACAAGAGAAGCTATGTACCCGGTGCCTCTCACTCTGCCTTGGCTTCCAGGAAGCTCTGAGCAAAGTTTTCCCCTTCCACCTTGGTTTCTGGTAGTTTGGTGATTCTCTCTCCACAAACCTATTCCCTCTCATTTATTAGCTCTTGTCGGGTCTCACTGGTTTTCCTTGACTGTAGTGTGCATTATATTGCAGCTAATCAGGTGGATGGCTTCTGAAAGGCTCTTCAAGATCATCTACTTCGAGGGGCAAGGAAGCCTGAGGCCCAGCCCTCTCCAGGTGAGCAGAGCCACCTGAGCTGTGACCTGACCCAGAGCTGCTTTTTCCCACCCAGTCCCAGGCCCAGCGTCGATCACTCACTCAGCCTCTTCCATGGCCACGGGGCACTTGTACTGCGCTGTGTTGAAGAGGCAGATGTCCGCGTACTGGCGCACTGGGGGCGGGGGAGGCACACAGGGAGGAACTGCATGAGCACGGGGCAACTCCAGGAGGCACTTCCGGCTTCCCTGAGGTAGGGATGCTCAGCCTGGGCAATGGCCAGAGTCTACCAGGCGCACTTCTGAATAACATCACTCCATCCTCCACCCAAAGGACAGCCCCTAAGATGTCCATTCCTTCTTCTAACCTAAAGTTTTCCCATCAAGGACAGCTTTTTCCAGAGTTCAGGAAGCCTAGAAGAGGTGGCCTGGACAGAAGGCCATGGGCAATCTGGGCACCAGCCTCAAAGTCCCCACTTGGCCCAGAGCAGGCCCCAGGTTCAGAGGTTATCAACAGTAGCAAGCACAAGGCTCTTGACAAGGCCCAAGCATTCAGTTGCCCACCCACCCCCACAGCTGACCCTCGCCCCAGGGTACCTGAGATCTTGATCTTCTTCACCGTCTTGTTGGTGTTGTTGGTGACATGGACGTTGACACTGATGGGTTCTCCGTGGTAATAGATCTGGGAGGCAGAAGAAAGGGGAGTGCTGGCTGGGAGGGCACCAGCCCTTTAGGTAAAGGTGAGGGGAAAAGGCCTTCCTGGGGTTCCCCAAACCTTAGTTGTTCTAACTTTTGCCCCAAGATCATTGACCACTTTGCACCAGTGTGAAGGTGGCACAGAAGTCACAAGTATATCAGCCTTCCAACCCCTTGTGGGACTCCTGAAGATACTTGTAGTAGGCGATATTCCTGCCTCCAGTCCTGTCCTGGCCACTAACATTAATGACCACAGTAAAAGCAATAATGATGGCGACTGTGTGTTGTTGGAAAGGTTATCTGAGCCTCAGTTTCTCCCACAGTACAATAGGACCTGGACCAAGTGATGTCTCAAGTCCCTGCCAACTGGGCTGACACAAGAGGCTCCAGCGGAAGCCAGGGAAGGAGAAGAAGGGCTGGCTTTCTCCACAGAGGAACCAGCTCTCTCACAGAATGGCCTTGATTGCATCTCAGCCAGGCATTTGCCTTCAGCTACCCCCCAGGAGGGAGAGGGTGCCCACACCCCAGGAGGGGCCTGTCTGAGCTCACAGCGGGTATCAGTTAGCTGTTTAGAGTCCCCTGCCTTCTTCAGGGTTTGCTGTCTCGAAGCTCAGGGTTAGGAAGCATTATGACAGGGAGTCCATGGGGCCCTCTGTCCCCTTCTCTGCCAATCTGGCTGTCCTTTACCATTTGGCTGCAGCTCAAAGTTGGTGGATATGAGGGGAGATAGGCAGGACCCTTCCGAAAGCACACTGCCTCCTTCTGAAGTCAGCTGAACCCCCAGGCTCCTGTCAACCTCTGCCACTCCTTTAGGCCCCAAGAGAGGCCTCAGATTCCCCAAGCTCCACAGTTCCAGGACTGGGGGATGGGCTCCTACCTGAGGAGTCCTCAAGGCCAGGAGTAGGGGATCTGAGCTGCAGGCCTGGGAGAGCAGCCCCCAGCCCGCCAGGTCCCAGCTCCTACCTCCTTATCCAGGGAGGCCTCCAGGTGCAAGGGCTTGTCCGACATGAGGAACTGCCTGGTGGTCTCGGCGGTGGGCTGAGGGCCCGGCCTCTCTGGGGCATACTGAACCTTCCGGATGACCAGACGTACAGAATTTCTAAGGCAGATAGATAGTGTGAAAGATGACCAGAGTCACCTCCCTCCATTCCCTTTCTTTGCAACTCTTACATTCCTAGCCTGCTCAGGAAGCTGCCATAGCTCCCTATCACCTCGGAATCCAGCCAACCGCAGAGGTCGGTCTAGGGCCCCAGTCCACCCTCGCCCATTCTATTCCCAAACCACCCTGGGGAAGCACATTATTTGGGTCTGCATCTTGGTACTCAGCAGGATGGTAAGAAAAGAACTATTTTCACTTCCTGTCTCTCTGTGTCACCTAATAGTGAAGTTCCTTACATACTGCTGTATCTTCAGCACCTATGACAATGCCTGCCATATAATAAATTCAATGGACCCTGGACTTATGATCAGCCTGATATATGAACAACTTGGGTTATTACTGGAATTTTAGTTTTAACTTACAAAGTCTTGAGCTACAACCCAAATGTCGGCCGCTTATGCTTCCAGATGGTCTCAGACACAGATTTAACCCTTAAAGCGTTCTGGAAGGAACATGACAACATCCTCTCCTCTGTGGGGTTAACTGAGAAATCCTGGGCCAATGTCTCTCTAAGGACACTGAGATCTGCCTGTATACAGGAGAGAGACTTTGAAGGCTGTGTAGAGGAGTCTGAACCTTCAACTGACCAGCTTGAGTTATAACCAGCCTAGAGAAGGAACTGAGTTCATAAGTCAAGGGTCCACTGTATCTATTAAGTGAAAATATGTGGCTGGAATTATAACTCAATGGTAGAGAGCCTCCCTAGCATGTGGGAGGCCCTGGGCTCCATCTCTGGCACTGGGAAAAAAAAAAAAAGCAGAAGGAACAGAGGCCCCATAAGAAAGCATTCTTGGAAGGTTCCAGGGCCTGGCTAGGGGATATAAGCCAGTGAAGAGGTAGCTCAGTGAGGCAATGAAGGCTCACAGATGAGAAGAAGGTGGTGGGAAGGTGACAGGGTTCAGAAAGAAGGATTTGGAGGTATGGGGAGGGGACAGGGACTCAGTGAGACCACCTCATTGGCACACTGGGAGTGCTGACATCCCCACTTCTCCAAGCTACCTCCACTCTCTGGAACGGTATGGCCTTGAGAGGAGGGTCTCCTCTCCCCACACACCTGAGCTGTCCAGGCTGCCGATAGAAATGCCTGCAATATGGCCAATAGCCACAAGGTGGCAAACAACCCACTCCCTAAGAGGGTGCTGGATCCTTTGCCACAGGAAGCAGGGGCATCTTTGGGAGCTGAGGCCAGGTGTGCCAGGAGGCAGGCCAGGGTCTGACCGAGGAAGGGCAGCCAGGAGAAGCAGGGACCATCTGTTTCCAGCCCACAGGAGTGTACATCCTCTCTCTGAGACACGGCCGTTGGCTTACTCTCCCCGTGTGGGTTTACCTCTTCCCTCTATTGCTTGGAGGGCCTCTAGGACACACAGGCCCCCACCTCCCACCCTTGGCCTCCCAGGAGGAAAATGGAAATGGGGATGGCCTGAAGGCATCTAGCTCAACACTGAGCACAACCCGAATTTAGGGGGTTTTCCCAAAACAGAAAGACCTGCAGCCCGGAGGGGAGGAGCTAGAGGTAAGCAGATGAGGAGGAAGCGGCCAGTACGGTATGAAGAAGATGCTGAGTGAGGCATGGTGACTTAGCTCCTCCTCCGACTTGCCCCTCAGGGCTGTCCCCTCCCTCTCCACACCCCGTGCCCTTGTACCTTTTGTGGATCTTCTCCTCCAGGTTCTCCGCACAGAAGGCTTTGACTTCGTAGTCCACACCACAGGCCTGTGGAGGAGGCAGTGCTGACCGCAGGGCCTTGGGGATGCAGGGCCTCCAGCATGCGGCCAGCCCAACCCCCCATGATACAAACCAGGCTGCCGGCCGGGAACAGCAAGCTCCTGTGGCCCCACCCCTCATGAGTGTGACTCCCAAGCCTTTGGTCAACGCTGCCTCCTCACCCACCTGCCCACAGAGCTGCTCCCAGATCCCGACACTGCTGTCCCAAGCCACCCTAGCTGGGTGTACTCTTGGGACTCCTGCCTCCATCTGGGTGGCTGTCTTCATTGAATCAACAGCCAGAAATAGCAACAGACAGCATGGTTGGGGACTCCTAGGGGGTGCAGACACTGCACTGGGGACTTTCTCAGTCTCCCCCAACAACACAGGGTTATCTCTGCCTCACAGATGAGGAAATGGGCTCTGAAGTCTGAGGCCTAGGACACTAAGGCACCACTTCTCTCTGAGCCTCAGTTTCCCCATCAGTGGGGCTCGAATCACCATGCAAGGTTTCTGGGGCTATGTGAGGCCAGGTGAAGGTCCTTAGAACATTTAGAACATTTTGGTCCTGTTGCAGCCAACACCAGGGCCAGCGACAGTGACTCAGGAGAGCCTCTGACACATCTACGAATTCGAATTCGGGGGTGAGGCTGAGCCTGCAGCCTCGTCTGAAGAGACTGGTGGTCCAAGGGAGGACCAGCAGGCCTAGACCCAAGGAAGCTTCAACAGGGGGAGTGGCCGTGTGTCCCCAACACTTCCCAGGGGAAAAGCCAGGATCCTGGGGACATGAGAGCCCTGGACCCAGACAGATGCCCCCTTTGAGGTCACTAACCTTCCCCGTGTCTTCAGGCCCGGGCTGCAATGTCACAGAGCATGGGAGGTTCGGAGGGATCTGTTCAGAAGACAGACAGAATCAGCCCCGTCAGAGCTACCACTGCGCTGCCCTTGCCTCCTCTCACTCCCACACACCTGTCACAGCAGGGCCCCTAAGGACTGGCCATGTCTCTCCCATGAGGCAAGGAGCCCCTAGAACGGGCCATGTCTCCCCCATCAGAGGCCCCTCCAGTGAAGCCAAGGATTTGAATTTGGTTTCTTTAAGGGTTTAGCCCAGCCAGTTCTCACAGCAATGGTTGGAAAATCTTTTCATGATGTCTTCTGTGGTAGGCAGAATAATGGCCCCCCAAAGATGTCCATGTCCTAATCCTCAAAATCTGGGACTCTGTTATCTTACTGGACAAAAGGGACTTTACAGGTAGGATTCTGTTAAGGACATCAAGATGGGGAGAATAGCATGGATGAGTCAGGTCGGCTGGATATAATTGTCAGAGTCATGAAAGAGGAGACAGGCAGCTGAAGAAGAGTCCATGCCAGAGGATAGGGCTGTGAGAAAGACTTCCCATGCCATGAGTCTATGGATGGAGCAAAGAGGCCAAGGCATTTAAGTTGGAAAAGACAAGGAAACTGATTCTCCTCTAGGGCATCCAAAAGGAACCACACCTGCCAAGCCCTTGATTTTAGCCCCATGAAACCCATTTTGAACATCTAACCTTTAGGACTTCAATATCATAAAGTTGTGCTGTTTTAGTTGGTGTGTTTAATTATCACCAAGTTTGTGGTGTTTGTGGCAGCAGCCACAGGAAACTAGCTACAAGATGACTCGGTATTCGTACTCCATTCTCAAACACTCAGAGAAAGGGAGGGGATTGCACTGTACCATAGAATCAGACAGTCTAAGGAACAAGAAATTTTGAAATTCAGAACTGTGAAGTCTTGGAATTGGAAAGTAGCAAGGCAGGGCAGGAGGCTGGAGCTGAGAAGCCATTGTTCAGGGAGACACCTTATCGTGACCCAGGGGCCAAAGAGTTCCTTTCTTCTCTGTAGCTTCCCCAAGCCCTCCTTTCTCCACCAGCAATGTGGATTCAGGAGAATCCGAGGAGTAAGTAGCCCACAGTAAGGGTGATAGGACCAGTGTGGCCAAAGAAACACTTACCAGCTAGAAAAAGTGACAGTGCCAGGTCCAAAGGTACACTGCTGAGGCGGGTAACCAGAGCAGCTGCCCCTGCAGCTGCCCTGAGCACTCCCTGCAGGTGGCATTTCTGAATAGGCCAAGGCAGGTGGCAGTCCCTACCTCAAAGGTGAAGGGGTATGCGTGCTCGCCCAGCTTCTTGATGAGGCGCTCCTGTAGTCGCGTCAGGGGCTTCTTGTCCTCAGGGGCCGGTGGGAAGGACTGCACGTTGGCCACAAACAAGTCTTTTCGAAAGGTCAGCCCCAGGACATCCAGGTCCTCCCGGCCATAGCGGAAGGCGCAGGTCAGTGTCACATAGACTGTGGGGAGCAGGGGGCACTGATCAGGGGTCTGGGAGGGAACACACAGGCTCCCCAATGTGCCAGCTGCAGGCCTGGGCATCACCCCACTGGAGGCCACAGGCCTGTTCCTAGGTCCTGTGCAGAGGGTGTGTCTCCCTCAGAGGAGTGGATACTGGGTACCTGGGTGGCAGCCCGGGAGCCTCTGAGAGGAAGTGGGAGGTGTCTTCAGGGCCACCTTCCTCCGTCCATCCCGGGGGCACTGGGAATGGCCTGACAGGGCAGAGGGGGCTGCAGTAGGTGGCAGGCATGGGGGTTGGAGCAGAGAGACAGCAGAAGACAGGAAGGAAGTGTGGGGCCCTTTCCAGAAGGCACAGGGCTCTGCCCCAGCCCCACCCCCTGCTCCTGTCTCCCCACTAGCCTTGCACAATCCCTTCACCTTTTTGTTCTCTGAAAGTGGACCCTGGCTGCTGACCTACTGGCCCCAGCAGCCTTGCTATGGTCATGACACATGGATGAGAAAGTGTTTAGGCGTTGACAGTTCTCCCCAGCTTGAGGAGGCCATGGCACCTGCACTGGTATTCACTAGGGTTGGGGGGGCACCAGTGGGATGGGCAGAGAGGCAGTAAGACTATCTGATGTCCTTTCTGGAAGTCTGAGGTCGGTAAGGAAGGTGGGGAGGGAACTACAGCCTACCTCTTCTCTCTTTGAGATACTCAGGATCCACCAGGACCACACCATCTGGGGGAGACAGAAAGTGAGCAGACCCTCCCACCTTCACCTCCCAAACCCCAGAGCCCTCAACAAATCCAAATCCAGCCATCTCTCCATTCAAAAGCCTCATGAGAGAAACAGGAAAGCCAGCACCTGGGGATGACACCTGATTTCCCAGCCTCATCTCTACCATGCCCCAGCCTCTGCCCACCCAGACCAGCTGTTGACTCTGAACAGGTTACTTGACTTCTCTGTTTCTTCATCTGTTAATAAGAATAATATGGGTCTGAGACCCTTAGGACCAAGTGTACTTTGGAATTCAGAAGCTTTGAGTTGTAGAGAGGCAGTGTGGAATTCATTTCATAGTCTGGGTACCACCCTCTGTGGGACATGCACCCTGCTGTAAAACCATTCGAACCTCTGCACAAATACACTCATATGCCATGTAGCATTTCAAAGGACCACACATACAACACAGTCCCACAAGATTATATTGCCTAGTGACATCATGCTCATCTTAATATGTGTAAGTACACCCTAGGAGGTTCACTCATCGACAAAGATCACCTCATGAGGCATTTCTCAGAATGTGTCACCATTATTTAGTGACGTATGGCTACCTTCCACCAAGAGGCTAACTACGGCGTGAATGGCCTCGCCCGAGATGAGTCAGGTTTGCCAGCAGACGAGCCCTGCCTAAAACCTAGAACAGAGTTATGTTTTCAAGGCATTCTGGATTTGAGATCTGTGGACTAAGGGCTGTGATCCACAGCCCCCACTTCATGGGCCTCGTGTGAGACAAGTGGGTAGTCTGTCAGTGTGCACATGGGCAAAACGTGTCACACATGTAAAGGGCTTGGACAGAGCCCTTTACACAGGCCAGCACAATGGAGAGTGTGGAATGGGCCCGGTGTCCCTCATAAAGCTTTCACTTGGGAGCAGAGTGGCCAGCTGGACATAAAAGACGTTTTCTCAGCCCAGGAGGCCAGGAGCGCTGGCTCAGGGGACACCCCTGCCTAGTACCCCTAACTTGTCTCTGGCCAAAGCTTCCTCTTGCTCCGGTTGTACTGCCGGCAACCTTCCCCATGCTGCCCCCACAGCTGACCCCGCAGGGAATCTCAGGCACAGTGCCTGGAAGGACCCCACTCCAACCTGTCCTGGGCAGGTCCTAGAGCCAGCTGGTCAGGGCATGCCCAACAAGCTCCCAGGACCTGCCCATGCATTTTCCTTCCTTTTATGGTGGACATCTCCTCTGGACCACGTCCTGCTCTGCGCAGGGGCTCAGTGAGAAATCCATGCAGAGAGAGTCCCAGGGGTGTGCAGAGAATCCCTCCGGGTTGTCAAGGGAGGCTGCTTGGGGGAGGAAAGCTGCAGCCAGGCCTCACAGGACAAAAAAGGGTCACTGACTAGATGACTAAGGAGTAGGATGAGGCAGGCAGAGGGAACAGCATGGTTCTGAGGCCTGGGAATATGGACTCTGGAGGCTGGTAGAAGATCACAAAGACCCATCAGCTAGGCCAGAGGGCTTGGACTGGTGCCCAGATCCGACAGGCGTAGTTAGCACAGGTCACAGACATGACCAGATCAAGCTAGAGGGCAGTGTCATGATGGACAGAGAATTTCTCTCTGTGTGTCATAAGATCAACCCTGGACAGTGCCCTCCCTGGGGCCACCACAGAGCCTGGCATGAAGTAGGTGCTCTCAGGTGCCGACATGTGCTTGGGAGCTGCTCCCCTCCTGCCCTCGCCCTCCCCAGCCTCCACTGGTGTCCTTAACAGGCCAATAGCTGTGCACGACACTGGCCTCTGAAAATGACAGCTTGAAGCAGGCCACAGCCTCTGAGGGCCCAGTTCAGGCAGAAGCTGCCAATGAGAGAGGCCGCTGACCTTCAGAAGATACCCAAAGTGTTTGGGGTTCTCAGACAGGGATAGAGAGAAAGGGGGTTTATCCTGGCCAGGACCACAAAGAGAGGGGTCTGAAGTAAAGCTGGTCCTTCTGCAGCTTCCTGGTCCTGCACACATCTCACTGACACAGGGACCCCAGGGACTCCTAGGTCCCTAGCCTCAGTATTGGACAGGTCTTCCTGCTGCTGAGCTGAAATCTGCCACTATGCTCTGCAACCATGAAGGTCGCTGCTGCCCTCTGGCCCCAGGACAGTCTCCAGGGACATGAGAAGAGGCCATGTTCCTTGGGAGTATTTCCCAGCAACACATTCCATTTCTTCACCTGGACTTGGCCTCATGCAGTCTCTGGCCCCATCCTCCCAGCCTGTCACCTCCTTTGGAATCACTTTGATTGGTCCATGTCCTTCTTAAAAGCAATGTAATAATAACCTAACCTCTCTGGCTTCACTGGGCTATCTAACAAATGGGGTGATTCCGGACCTCCCTCCCCAGTTGTGGGAAGAGGCAATGAGCCAAGAGTCTTCCAACAAGAGCAGTGGTCCTTTACTAGAGGCAATTTTGACTCCCAGGGGGCCACGTGGCAATGTCCAAAGGCAATCCTACTGCCTCAGTCTCCTGAATAGCTGAGATTATAGACTCTTGGCTTCCAAAGATGTTTGTGATTGTCATAACCACGTTAGGGGTGGCATTCCTGGCATCTAGTGGACAGAGGACGGGGATGCTCCTAAACATCCTACAATGCATGGGACAGACCCCAACACGGGATCATCCGATCCCAGGTGTCAAGAGTCCTGAAGATAAGAAACCCTGAGCTCGAACAATACCTTGGAAGGTGACTTCAGCCATGACCCACAACCCCCATGTAGATGAAAACGGTCCCCATTTCACAAATCCCAAGGTTTTCTCGCCATCTCCCACTTTTTGCCATCAGGAGGGATCAAAACCAAGAATTTCTACCAAGCCAGGAAACCAGGTTTGAAACTGGCCCTGTACCGACTGGCTCTGTGACCTGGAACAAGTCGCGGAGCCTCTCTGTGTGTCATTGTCCTCATCAGAAAAGCAGAGATAATAATCGTAGCTGCCCTGCTGTCTGCTGTGTCATCACCCTCATCCTCTCTGTGGCATCCGGACGATGTCCCTGTTCTCATCTCCACCCTTCCCATAACTTCCTCCAAGGGCCCCTGCACGTGGGAAAGGAAGGAGATGCTCAGAAGACGCTTGCTACCTGAAGCAGGAGCATGCACCCCCCATCCTGGGCCCCAGGCCCCTCCGGAGGCTGAGCCAGCCCTGCCTCCCGCTCCCCTTCCTGCCCTCCACGCCCTCAATGACTCACCCACAGGGTCCACAAGGTCAATGTGGTCCACAAAGTCCCGCTTTCCCAGATAGACGGTGAGCTGGGGAGGAGAGACACAGAGGTGTTGGCAGCTGTGGGCAGGGGAGGGGACAGGCCCTGCCCTGGAGGAACCCTGGAGCCACACCTGAAACTCCTAGCCCCATCCCTAGCCTGTATCAGAAACGGATCTGGACTTGGAACCTCCCTGAACCCTAAGGCTAGGAAGAGCAAACCTTTCCAAAACTTTACACCTCCACCTCCCAAAACCCTAAGAAGGAGTTGTTATTGATCCCATTGCATAGATGAAGCCTGGCGAGACCCTCATGACAAGCACCATGGACGGTGGAGGAGCAGCAGCAAAGAAGGCTGCTGAGTAGGAATGCTGGGGTCGCAGAAGGCCCAGGAAGCCTACAGGCTGGAGACACTGAGCCCAGAGGGGCAGGCTGCAGGTGCAGGCTCTGTTCTCTTCAGCAGCCTGGCAGGCAGCTGCTCACCTAAAGACTTGTTTTCTGAGCAGTAGGGAGCTGGACCCCTTTTGGAAGCCAACCTGCAGGGAAGAACCCTCCAGCTAGAATTCCAGGAGCTCAACACCAAATCCAGAATGGCAGCCTACACTTCCTGCTACACAACAATTCTGATGATTTGGCCTCCACCAGATTTCTCAGATCATCCCTCTCCATGACCTCACAGGGTCCAGGCTCCAGGGTGTTCTCCCCTCCTTAGCTGCACCGGCTGCCCGAAAATGCAAATCAAACCACGCCACTACTGTCTGAAAACCCTTTAACAGTTCCTCAGTGCCCGGAGGTAAGGATGACAAAAGGCTCTCATTCCACGTGCCAACTCTGATTGATTAATCTATCAGGGCTGCCTGGGGCCCTGGACTGTGGAGGAATCCAAGATGGAATCCTGATGCCACAGGAAGAGTTGAGAGGTGATTGGCAATGTCTGCTGTGGGCACTGAATGGGATGTGGAAGCTACCATAGCATTATCTGCCAATCCAGGCCAGGGGTCTGAGTTCCTAAATCCAGCCACAGGTCTCCCATGCAGCCATGCCAGCCTCTGCTCCCACTCCTGCTCCCTCTCGGCACCTGGGAACTCAACTCCCTGAGGTGTGCCACAGTCTGATTTTAGGGTCCTGTCTGGAGCACCTCTCACCTTGCTTTGTCTGGGGAATGTATCCCTCCTAGAGGAAGCCACCCCTGACTTCCCCAGCTGGGTCCTGCAGCCTTGGGCGTCCCCATATCTCACGCTTGGTATGGAAATGATCCATCTCTGTGTCTGCAACACCATCTGCTGTGAGTGATGTGCCCGATTCATTCAGCACACCCTACCCCATCCCCACCAGGCTTGGCCCAGACCTGGCATGGAATGGTAATAGTATTTATTTGCTGAACTGAGAGGAAAACAGGGCCTGTGGAAAGGGGGACAAGGCCCTGGGAGCTGCCTTGGATAACAAAGTGATACCAGGAGCCTTTCACGCCTGCTTCCCCTGGCCTGTGGCCCTTTCTTGTCAGCTGGTACTCTATTTATCACATTCACACTCCTCTATGAGAAGCTGTCTCTCCCCAGCCAGAGCTGGTCCCATAAAGGCCAGACAGTAAGTTTCCTGACAGACCACTCCCATTTGGATAGAGGGCTCCTGAGGAGAGAGTTGTGTCACCCCTACCCCAGAAGTGGCATTTGCTGCTCTCCATGGAGCTGTGCACTTCCACAGAGACACAGTTTGCTCTGCTGCCTCTGGAGAGGCTTCCAGAGGCTGGGCTCAGGGAGGAGCCAGGTGTCACCTGGCACACTCACCTTTCCATTAGGGCTCGCCTTCTTGAACACTCTGTGGAGAGAAAGAGAAGTGAGGCCAGTGTTAGCATAGCCTGCCCAAGCAGGCCCCTGCAGCCCATCCAAACCCAGATGGTGGGCAGGGGCCTGCAGTGATTTCCAGACACCATGCAAATGTGGAGCTGGAACAGGGCCGGCATAATCAGCTCTTACCATCCCCATTACTACCTCCACCTAAGCTGCCATTACGGCCATTCCAGCCCTCCTGGGACACCCAACAGACCCCAAAGCTTATTCTCCACACGGTGACTGAGAGAGGCTCAAAACAAGTCCACCAATTCACGTGGAGGAAGAGCCTCAAGTGCCTGTGAGGTCTGTGTGATCCGGCCTTGCCCGCTTTTCCTCCCTGAGTCACCTCCTGTGATTCTCCTCACTCCTCTCCAGCCTCACAGCTCTTTGCTGCTCCACAAACCAGGCCAATTCCTGCCTCGGGGCCTTTGCTTTGGCAGTTCCCCCTCCCTAAGGTACCTTCCCCACACATCTGCTTGCCCAACCTTGCTGCCTGATTTGATGCTTTATTCTGTGCACCTCCCCACCCCAGATCCCCAGTCCTTTTGGTCCACAGCACTCCTCACTGTCTAAATTGCTACACAATTTGCCTGTTTTTCCATGCCTGGCCTGTCTGTTCCTCTAGTGTGCCCACTCCACAAGGACGGGGCCACTGACACATCACAGGCATTCGTACCACCAGGCCTGACTGCTGCTGTTCAATAAGTATGTGCTGATGACTGGCAGGTAGCAAGCACTTAATAAATATTAGCCGAACAGGTGAATGAATGAACTAGAGAAGGAATCCACCACCTGATTTGACCGAGAGACCAAGGCACAGGAAAGGGAGGGACACAGAGCCAGGCAGTGAGGTGGTCCACAATTTCTGACAAGGGCACGCTTGCCTTCTATCTTCCCTCCTGCCTTCTCCCCAGCTGTGTCTGGGGGCCTGAAAGACCCCTGACCCATTTATCATCATCTAGAACAGAATTTCTCCAAATTGTGGGGAGGGAGAGAAGAAAAGTGAAAGACAGACACCCAGAGACTAGAGAAGGAGAGAGAAACAGTCACAAGCAGAGATGGAACAGACACGAAAAGATGGAGCAGGCCCACAGGAGGCTGAGAGGGAGGGCACTCCCCACATCCAGCCCCTGGGCAGGAGGTCCATCCAGCATCCAGGTGAAGGCCACATGTCCAAGCCGCAGCTCCTCTGAGAAGTACGGGGAGAGGGGCTGCAGTCTCCATAGACCCCCCCCCACTTCTCCATCCCTCACTTCTGGGGTCCCCAGAGACCAGTGGCAAGTCTGAGCATTGCTTACAATGAAGAGCTTGGCACACGCCTCCCCCACTCAGGGGCCCTTCTCCCCATCACTGTTTATCACTGTCCGGAGTGTGAAGATGCCACAGTTGGCTGGGGTGTGATAATTGCTAAAGTGAGAGAAAAACAGATCACGCGGTTTGCACCAGCAGCTCCCAAGCTGGGGCTGGGCCTGCAGAGGAGACTTGAGAAGAACCCCAACCATGGGACCCCAGCTGCTTCCAGAAGACTTAGTTGTCTCTTCCCAGAGGGAAAGGAGAGGCCGCAAATGCCTGAGGGCTCAAAGAACTGAATAGGGACAACCATTCCAGCGGCTGAGGGACAAGGGGCAGCCAGGGCACTGGGGCCAGGCTTGGGGAGGCAGGACTCAAGAAGGGCAAGAGGGAAGGAAGAAGGAGCTAGGATCTGTTGAGTGGCTAATTATTTCTCATAACAGCACTGTGAAATGGTTTTTTTACAGATAATTAATTTAAGCCTCAGAGAGATCCAGTAATTAGCCCAGGAACATACACCAAGCAAGGGGCTAGTTCTGGGTCCAGACACAATTCTATCTGCTTCCACGGGCAGGTGTGCTTTCTACCCAATCCCGAGGGCTCCTAAAACAGGTGTTTGCAACAACATCCGGAATAACAGAAAAGAGAGGAAATGAGGATAGGAGGGGGAAGGGAAGAGGAAGAAGTGAAAAAGAAAATGAAGAGGGGCAAGGGCTGAGTGGGGGTGATGGGGGGTGGCGGGAAGCACAGCCAGCAGTGGGGAATGTCCTGTTGCTCACCTAATTAGCACCAGGGCCATGTTCTCCAGGAAGCCGGGACTTTGATGGCTTCCTCAAACAACAGCAGCAGCTGCCACAGTCCCTGAGAGCAGGCTAGTTATGCCCTAGTCATGTCTCCCAGTATTTCCCCACATCTCTGCTGATCTTTACAACAATCCCACTTCAGAGACATGGAAACTGAGGCACAGAGAGGCAACCCATGGTCGATCCAGAGCCGACATCTGTCCACTCACCAAGCCAAGCCTGCCCTAAAACTCTGCTAGCCTCCCATCCCTATGGGGTGGTCCCAGTTTCCCAGCACCCCACATGTGCAGCCCCACACAGACAGCTCTGCCTGTCTACTCTGAAGATCACACACCAAACCCTGAGCCTGTGGCCCAAGCCAAACCTGCTGGTAGGGGAGGCTGGGTTTGTTCACCCTCAGTCCCACCTGTGCCCCCACACTTCCATCCTCAGAGCTGCAGCTGGTTTCCCACAGGAGAAATACCAGCAGGATTCTGGCTAAGGCTCACCAGAGACAAGGAACAGAAACCAACCAGGGTAGCTCACAAAAAGGAGGGGGTACGTTAAGGAGGCAAAAGTCTCACGGGAAGGATGCGCAGGCAGGATGCACGGGGGCTGGAGCCAGGAACAGGGATGCCATCAGGTCCTCAGGCAGTTGCTCCCTCTCTCCACCTCTCCTTCTGGGACTGCATGTTCTCCCAGCTGCACAGCTGTCTGTGCGGCTGCTCCATTGTCCCTGTGGACCAGCTCTCTCTCTGCTTACTCAGGGCTTTTCTGTTCCTCCATCCTTTGGGCTTGCATGTGACTCACACTTCATTCCTGTTTCGATTCTGCCTCTCTCGCTCAGCTTCCCGCTACTAACTGGCTGAATGGCCCAATTCCAAATTCCCAAGAGAGGAATGTGATTGGTCAGCTTTGGTCAGGTGCCCCACTCCTGAGCCAATCAGCTATCCCCAGAGTATATCATGTGATCCATGAAGTAGGAGTAGAAGAGAGCCCTTAGGGTAGTGTCTTTCAAGCCAGATTTACAACCCACTAGCTAATAATGGAATCAACTTAAAAGATGCTTTAGTTTTTAATGAAATGGAATAGAGTATAATAGAAAATATAAACATGCACTCCAGGTAGCAAGGGTATAACAGATATTACTATATTCACCCAATATTCAGGTTCCCTCTAAGGCTGGGCCTTTGGGAGTATCAAATATCTCCAATCCTATGAAGTTAGACAAACCCACATGGCCTGCTTTGGCCAATTAAATAGGAATAGGGGTGCCACATGTCACTTCCAGACAGATGCAATTAAGTGCTGGCACATGATTCCATGTGTCCTTGGTATTCACTTTCTATGGCTGCTCTAACAAATTACCATAAACCCAATGCTTTAAAACAACACAAATTTGCTATCTCAGTTCTGTAGTTCAGAAGTTCAAACTGGGCCTCGCTAGGCTAAAATCAAGGTTTTTCAGGTCTCTGTTCCTTTCTGGAGTCTCTAGGAGTGAATCTGTTTCCCTACCCTTTGCAGCTTCTCAAGGCTGCCTACATCCCTCGTCTCCTGGCGGGCCTCCTTCTGCCACCTTCAGACCCAGCAAGGACAGGTCATGTTCTTACCACATTGCACCACTCTGATCTCCTCTTTTGCCTCTCTTCTACTTTTAAAGATCCTTGAGATTACATTGGGCCTACCTCAATAATTCAGAATAATCTCCTATTTTAAGATCATCTGATCAGCAAATTTAATTTTACCTGCAACTATTTTTACCACAATGGTAACATAACATTCACAGGCTTCAGGGATTAGAACGTGGACTTTTTTGTGTAAAGAAGTCTTCTGCTGCTGAAACCAGCAATGGTCTGGATGAGAAAAGCTAAATCCAAAGGCTCTCTCACCTTAAAAAGAAAGCATTTTAGCCACTGTGTGGTTTGTCACTGCAGTGGAGAGCTCTCCTAGCTGATACCAAGAGTAGAAGCAGAGCACAGTGGCACACACCTGAAATCCCATCACTCTGAGAGACTGAGGCAGGAGGATCTTAAAATTGAGCCCAGTTTGGGCAATTTAGCAACTTAATAAGACCCTACATCAAAATTTTTTAAAAAGCTACCTGCCAGGTATGGTGGTGCACACTTGTAGTTCTAGCACTGGACAGGCTGAGAGTCAGGTGCATCACTAAGAGTTTGAGGCCACCCTGGGCTACATAGTGAGTTCAAGGTCAGCCTGCACCACAAAGGGAGACCCTGTATCAAAAAACCAAAAAAAAAAAAAATTTAAAGGGAGGGTGGACTAGGGATGTTGCACAGTGTGAAGGCCCTAGGTTTAATCTCCAGTACTGAAAAAAGAAAAAGTAAGTGGCATTCAGTGAAACTTGTGTTTCAGGTGGTGTACTCAGTTACAATGTAAAGTGAATTTCAGGCTGCAAATTTTAAAATATTTGATGTTGGAAAATGTACCTAAACAAAATGTGTTCCATTAATGTTTGTGTAGCCTGTTAGATGCTACACAATTTTCTAATTGCACTCCATTAGGATGGTGCTGGCAGGAAGACAGGCAGGTTGACTGTCCATTAACCAGGACACTGGCTTCTCCAGTGAGCTCTGTTCCCTACCTGCAGCATAGGGTGTCTGTTGGTCAACTCTGACACACTAATTTTTTTTTTTTGGTACTGGGGATCGAACTCAGGTCCTTGTGCTTGTGCAGCAGGCGGCGAAACCACTGAGCTAAATCCCCAGCCCTTGACACTAATATTCTGCTGCTCTTCAGTGGGCCATCAGTTCCATTGCACCATGAGGGACTCAGGTGAAGCACCTTCCAACACAGGTTAGCCAACCAGAATTTATCATTCTGTATGGCACAGCTAAGTAATGGAATATTATACAGCACTAAAATTATAATTGCATCTTTCATAACAGATATAACGTTCTGCAGGATAAGTCTGGAATCAAAACAGAACATTTGGCTAAATTCCACTTTATACTCAGTAAATACCAGTCAGGTACAGTGGCACATGCCTGTAATTCCAGATACTAAGGAGGATAAGGCAGGAGGTTTGCAAGTCACCCTGGGAAACTTAGCAAAACTCTGTCTCAAAGTAAAAATGTTAAAAGGCCAAAGGATGTAACTCAGTGAGAGAGCACTTGCCCAGCATGTGTGAGGCCCGGTGTTCAATTCCTAGGACCACAGAAAGTAAATAAATAGATATCCAGGGAGGGAAGGAGGGAGGGGCAAGAGGAAGGGAAGGAGAGACAAAGAGAGACAGAGAGAGAGAGAGAGACAGAGACAGAGAGGAGAGAGAGAACTTCACGTTGTTAAGACCACAATACCCTTCAAATTGATCTATGAATTCAGAGCAATCATTGTCAAAATCCCAGCTGGATTTTTTGCAGAAATGTATAAACTGATCCTAAAATTCATATGGAAATGCAAAGGACTCAAAATAGCCAGAACAATCTTGAAAAACAGAACAAATGTAGAAACTCACATTTACCAATTCTAAAACTTACTGCAACAATTGGGACTGGGGATTTAGCTCAGTGGTTCCGTTGTCTGCCTTGCAAGTACAAGGACCTGAGTTCAATCCCTGGTACCCCCCCAAAAAACTTACTGCAACAGAACTATTATCAAGATTGTATGGTACTGGTATAGGACATATAGATCAATAAAAGAGAAACAATAGTCCTGAAATAAACCCACATATGTATGGTCAATTGATATTTGACAAGGCAGTCAAGATAAGTCAATGGTTAAAGAAGAGTCTTACCAACAAAACATAAAGGAAGAGCTACATATCGATTTGCAAAAGAATGAAGTTATACCCTTACCTCACACAATAAATAAAAATTAGCTCAAAATGAATCAAAGATATAAATATAAAATATAAATATTTTAAATATAAAAGCTATTTTATATTTGTACAATTTTTTTAAATGTACAACTATAAAGAAACAACTATTATAAGAAAACATCAATATAAATCTTCTTGACCTTGGATTAGGCAACAATTTCTTAGATACAACACCAAGAGCATAAGCAACTAAAAAAAGAATGGATAAAAACTTTTGGTCTACAAAGATCAGCATTGAGAAAGTGAAAAGACTACCCACAGAATGGAAAAAACGTTTTCAAATCATGAATCTGATAAAGGTCTAGAATCCAGAATATATAAAGAACTATTACAACTCAACAACAAACAGGCAAATAACCCAATAAAGGCAGCAATGGGTTTGTGTGGACAGGCATGTCTCCAAAGAAGTGGCCAATCAGCATATGAAAAGATGTTCCACATCATCAGTCACCACAAAAATGCAAATCAAAACCATAATGATATGTTTCATACCCACTAAGATGACTATAATAAAAAAAGATAATACCAAGTGTTGATGAGGGTGTGGAGAGACTGAAACTCTCATACCTTGCTGATGGAAATATAAAATGGTTCAGCCACTTTGAAAAAGAGTTTGACATTTCCTCTAAACGTTAAACATTGAGTTAACATGTGGCCCAATGAGTCCACTCCTGGTATACAACCAACAGAACTGAAAAAATGTCCACACAAAAATCTGTGCATGTATACTCATTGCAGCATTATTTAAAATAGCTCTAAAGAGAAAAAAAACCTAAATACCTGAGTGTGTAGCCTATTATCCCAGCAATCTGGGAGGCTAAGGCAGAAGGATTCCAAGTTGGAACCCAGCCTGGGCAACGTGTAAACTTAGTGGGACCCTGTCTCAAAATAAAAAAGGCTGGGGATGCAGCTCAGTGCAAAGGCCTTGGATTCAATCCTAGTACCAAAACAAAACAAGAGCAAAAAATAAAACAAAACCTAAGTGTCCATCAGTGCTAGGGATTTAGCTCACTGGCACCACGCCTGCCTCAAAAGCGCAAGGTCATGAGATCGATCCCCAGTACCAAAAAAGCAAAAACAACTACTACAACAACAACAACAAAACTAAGTGTCCATCAACTGAAGAATGTATTTTTTAATAAGGCATATACATAAAATGTACTATTATTCAGCCATAAAATGGGATGAAGTACTGATTCATGAGACAACATAGGCGAACCTTAAAAAGATCGTGCTAAGTGAACAAAGCTGGACACAAAAGGCCACATATCATGACTCCATTTCCATGAAATGTCAGATTTGGCAGATTCACAGAGACAGAACGTAGATTAGTGGTTGCCAAGGGCTGGAAGGGTCAGGAAGGAAAAGGGAGTGACTACTAATAGGTTTGGTGTTTCTTTTAGGGGTTATAAAAGTGTTCTAGAATTGGATAGTGGTGATGGTTACATAACCTGTAAAGATACTAAAAAGCACTGAAATGTACACTAAAACTATGAACATTATGGTATACACATTACAACTCAATTTTATAAAGAAAGGAAAATTGGAAAGAAAGAGAATGAATGAAAGGAAATGTACCTAAATATTAACAAGGATTAAAGAAGACTTCACCCACCCACCTACTTCTTTGTACTTCTAATTTTTCCATGGTGTCCAATGAGCATAAATCACTTCCTAAGGATCCTGGGGGTTTCCTAATAAGGTATGTCTCAAGTCTTAGAGAAAGGGGAGCCTAGAAACAAATAGTTAAATGAAGTCTAGAAAATTTAACCCTAACTTCTGAATGGGCAGATGTTAGAGTCTCTGATTGTACGATTGTAAGATACAGAGCCTACACCTCTGTGATTTCTCTCAGAGCCCTCCCAGACTGCGGCATCTGCCATCACAACTGCCATCTGTGTCTGCTCCCTCTTTCTTCAGAGAGCCCTCCCTGACTCCCCCAGGGTTAGATGCCCCCTTAGCTCCACACCCAGCATGTCCCTCACAGCAATGTAATGAATGATATGCTAACTTCTCCTCTGCTCCACTTATAAAGCAGGAATGAGAGTAGAG